TAATGGACCCTAATGAGATTCTGATGTAGAAACATGTTTGGGAAACATTGATCTAAATCTGGGATGACTGGCCAGGTGCAGTGGCTCACACCTGTAATCCAGCAGTTTGGGAGGCCGAAGTGGGTGGATCATTTGAGGTCAGGAGTTCGAGACCAGCCTGGCCAACATGGTGAAACCCTGTCTCTACTAAAAATACAAAAAAATTAGCTGGGCATGGTGGCGCATGCCTGTAATCCCAGCTACTCGGGAGGCTGAGGCAGGAGAATCGCTTGAACCTGGGAGATGGAGGTTGCAGTGAGCCAAGATCATGCCACTGCACTCCAACCTGGGTGACAGAGCAAGACTCCGTCTTAAAAAAATAGAACTAAAATAAATAAATAAATAAATCTGGGATGACTGACCAAGAACAAATAATGTAGACATCAATTGAACACCAACTGTATACCTAGGACTGGATCTGAGGGTAGGATTGCCAGATTGAGCACAAACGAACAAACGGAACACAAGAAACAACAGAAGGGTGCCTGGTAAATATGAATTTTTGGTACGCAATAAGTAATTTTTATTGTGTCCGTGCAATGATAGGACGCACGTATCCTGAAAACCTATCTGTTGTTCACCTGAAATTCACATTTAACTAGGCGTCCTGATTTTATGTGGCCACCCTATCTGCCGGGGAAGTAGGCTGATGCCCCTGGGGGTTCTCCATTTCCTTGGCCACGTTTCTGTAGGGCTGAGGTCATGGGGGAGCCGTGGCCAGGGATGGTGTCCTTGCCAGGGGAGGAGACAGGCAGAGCTGCAGGCCCTACAGCTTGGGGTTGGGCAGGGATGAATCGCTCTAAAGTGGTGCCTCTGATGATAGCTGTTATTTTAGTTTCTGAAAAATGTGCTGCCCTCAAGAGCTTCTGAGGCTGGGCCTACTTGGGTGAAAATAGCTTTTCAGGCAGCCACACTGTGGGGACGTGAAGCAGCAGCCCCACTCTTTGGGGCTACTTGGCTGTCTCTAGCTCATCTCACTTGCCAAGGCTGGACAAGGAAATGAAAAAGAAAATGCCAAGGGGTGGGCAGGAGCCTGTTGGCGTTGGCAGGCGCTGCCAGCCCCGTGTCCCACTCAAGCTCTGGGGTGCGCTCCATGCTGGGCAACAGAGTAAGACTCCATCTCAAAAAAAGAAACAAAGAGAAGGGAGGGAGGGAGGGAGGGAGGAAGGAAGGAAGGAAGGAAGGAAGGAAGGAAAGAAGGAAGGAAGGAGGGAGGGAGGGAGGGAGGGAGGAAGGGAGGAAGGAAGGAAGGAAGGAAGGAAGGAAGGAAAGAAGGAAGGAAGGACGGACTGCATAACCACTGAACTACCAATGAAATAGAGACACATATTCCCCCAGAACACCAACTAGATAAATATATTAAATTGCTAGTGACTCAAATTACTGTGATAATATCTCAGCACTGTTTGAAAGGGTCCACTGAATTCCAATTATATACATATTAAGCTTTTATTCATCTGCCTAATGGGATTTCCTGTCCATCTGGGAGTAGGGGGTAGAGTCTGACTGTGTTGGGGTAGAGTGTTAATATTTGGAGAGGAACCTCCCCGGGACAGGGTCCCCAGGCTTTGCAGACAAGGCCTTCTGGCTGGGCCCCTCTTCCCTTCCTGTCTCCCAGGATTCCCCCAGGACACTATTGTGCTGTGCACTGTTTGGCCCCCTCGGTGTCCCTGCTCCTTCCAGCCACTGCTCCCTTCTGCAGACACTTGCCTGGGATTCCCAGGGTACAGGGGTGGGGGCTGGTCAGGGCCTGGTCAGTGTAGAGCAGGGAGCTTTTCACTTTTAGCACAGATAGAGTGGCCAGGGCCCCATGGCTGCACCTCCCTGGACATAACCAGGATGTCCTGTCATCCGCCCCCAAACAAAACTGGGGTCTCCCCTTTATTTTGCCAACAGAATCCAATTTTTAGGTGATGAGACAAGTGTTTGACTTAAAAAGACCCTCCTGCCCAGCCTTCTGGAAGGTCTGGAGCCCAGCCCAGCGCCCTGGATGCCCTCGGCATGTGAAACGGGGAATGCAGTGTCCTCCAGTGGCCAGCTTCAGCTTGGAGTGGGCACCTGGGTGGTGGCCAGTGGTTCCCCTGCAGGCCACTGCTGTCCCCTCTTGGGTCCTGTTCTGAGTCTCAGGCCTGAGTCCCTGGGGAAGGCCCCACACCTTGCCCTGTACCTGGGTATGGGGATGGCCCTGAGGGGCAGCCTTGCTTGGGAGAAGGGGGAAAAAGGATATTTTTATATAAATAAGGAAAAGACAGCCCCTCTGGGCAGATGAGGCCTGCTGTAGGCCAGGGGGCTTGGCAAACTGTGTCCACGGGTCTGCAACCCTTCAGCTGGATCCTTTTGTGCAGTGAACGGCCTGGACAACTGTCCGGGTGGCCCTCCAGGGATATGTTCCTGGACCTTTCTTAGCTTCTCACTGACCTTTCTCCCACTCCAAGTCTGTGTTCCTCAGTCAAACAAGTGTCAGGGAGGAGGAGGAGGAGAGGGAGGAGGAGGAACCTGCTTCACCCTCTGCACCTGGGGGCGTTGTTCCACGTGGCTTCCTTGGGAAAGACCAGGGTTCTATACAGCCTGGGGGCGGTTTCACCTTTCTACTTTTGAGTGAGACTCTCTCAAGTCACGGCTCTTTGGGCCCACATGGCTAAGGTCTAGCCACCTGTGGGTGTCTCATGCTGCCTCAGTGGGTGGCGTGGGGGGCGGGGCTGACCTCCCCCATGCCTGGCTCAGTACAGCACACCCTGGCCCTTGTGCCCGCTCTCTGCCCTGAGCAGGAGTTTTATTTTCCTACCCTTTGGTGAAGCAAGCACAGGTGTGCGGAGGTGGGCAGGGGTTTCCAGCCCCAGCTGCCGGGGTAGGGAGACCTCTGTTGCTCAAGGCATGGGAGGTGGGGACTTAGCGGGACAAAGGCTCACCCCACACTCTTATCATTAGCATTATCTGTATTTTTAATTTTTAAGTTGAGAAATTTTCTACAACTGTCAAACTAGACAAATGACAGTAGCCAGTTCTCCTCACCCAGACTCAGCCATTGCTAACAGTTGTCAGTGTTGAAGATGGTCAGCATCTCGTGCCCTTGGTTTCACTCGTTCCCTGTGTGGCCCTCGTCCCTCTCCCCATGTCCTGCGCGCCCTGAGTAGCCATTGCCAGGAACTTGGCCTGTGGGTTTGTTTACTCTGAATCTGCATGTGCCCAGCCATGAGCAACAGGTCACTTTTTGAATGTGACCGAAGCTGCATCCTGCTGCGTGTGTTGCTGTGTGGCCGGCTTTCCTCCCTGTCTTCTGTTCATGAGTGCTGTTCAAGCGGCATACCGTCCTGTGACGTTGGTTTAAAAATGTAGGCCGGGCGCGGTGGCTCACGCCTGGAATCCCAGCACTTTGGGAGGCTGAGGTGAGAGGATCGCCTGAGCCCAGGAGTTTGAGACCAGCCTGGGCAACATAGTGAGACCTGGTCTCTACAAAAAATAAAAAAATGAGCCGGGCATGGTGGTGGCACGTGTCATTGTCCCAGCCACTCGGCAGGCCAAGGTGGGAGGATCACTTGAGCCCAGGAATTGAAGGCTGTGGTGAGCCATGATGGCACCACCGTACTCCAGCCTGGGCGACAGAGAGAGACGCTGTCTCTAAAAAATAAAAAATAAATCAACACGTGAACGTATGTTCTCTTCCTGAGGGACGGAGCTTGCCCTGGTTGTTCCGTGTTGACTGTGCTGCACACAGGCCCCCCCAGCTTGCTCTGCCCCTCGCTGTATTAAACCTCTTTGGGCCTCAGTTTCTCCATCCCTAAAGGAGGTCGGGGAGGCCAGGCAGGTGTTGAGTGAGATGAAGAGGCCCTCTGGGAGACGTTGCAGGAGTCTGTAGGCGACTCCAGCCTCTTCTCACCTCTGACAGCCTGGTGGCGGGGGTGGTGTCTGTGCTGGGGATGTGGGTACAGGGCCTGGGTGGGCGGGGATGAGGGTGGGGTTTGGTGACAGGGCGTGGGTGGTCACCCAGCTTTGCCTTTCTCCACAGGGTCCTGAGGACACCATGAGCCAGCCAGGCCTGGCCGCTGGGCCTGACCGGCCCCCCAGCCCCTACACCCCACTTCTCCCGGACTCTCCCAGCGGACAGCCCCCCAGCCCCACAGCCTGAACCTCCCAGCTGCCATGGGCCTGTTGCATACATGCATGCAGGCCTGTGCAGACACTCAGGGACGGAGTGCTGCTGAAGGGGCTTGCAGGGAGAGGCTCGTCGACAAGCACTGTTCTGGAACCTTCTCTCCACGTGGCCCACAGGCCTGACCACAGGGGCTGTGGGTACTGTGTCCCCTTCCTTGGGTGAGCCTGGCCTGTCCCATTCAGCCATTGGGCCCAGGCTTCCTCCCCTTCAGGGTGAAACACTGCAGTCCCGGCGTAGTGACTCCCCAGGCAGGACTGGCCAGGCTGGGAGTGCTGGCTTCCTGTGCCAAATAGCTGCCAGGCCAGGCAAAGCGCCTTTACACAGGCCTCAGAAAACAACGGGGTGAGCACGAGATGCCCCGTGCAGCTGCCCGAGGCTCCCCGCCCACCCTGGCCGGCCCTTGATCTCCCCGAAGTCTTCACAGGCACTGCATCAGGGTGTCTGCTGCCCGTTTCCTCCAGCCTAAACTGACATCATCCTACGGACTGAGCCGGCCACTCCCTGGCCGAAGTGGCAGCAGGCTGTGCCCCCGAGCTGCCCCCACCCCCTCACAGGGCCCCTCAGATTTGAGGTGCCCAGGCTGAGGTGAAGAGGCCTTGGGGCCCTGCCTCCCGGGCGCTCCTGGACCCTGGGGCCAGCCTGTGACCCTTTTCTACTGGAAATGAGTTTTATCATCTTTGAAAAATAATTCACTATTGAAGTAATAAACCTTTAAAAAAATTTGATGCTGGCCTCTGTGACAGCCTTGTTTGCTGGGGTTGGGGGAGCAGTGGGGGCCTCTGGGAAGTCCTGGGCTCTTCTTCTCTTGGTTAATAGCTCCTTTCTGGTGGCTGCCAAGAGCGTCTCTCCCAGGGCTAGGCTGCTGGCTTACCTTCCTGTTGTTTTTAAATTTCAACCTTGTGCAATGTTGAGTTTCATAGAAATACTGCATGAGCACGCCCTTGTTTAGAAGCAGCAGGGCTGAGTCCCGTCTTCCCCCCTCCCCCGGCCATGCCCACAGCCCCCAGTGCCGACGCCTTTGCCACTTTTGCGTGGGGCCCCTGGATGTGTTTCTGTGCCTTTATCTACAAATCCTGGTGCCCGTGGGACATGCCCCGTGTTGCTCTAGGCCTTTGCTTTTTGCTTGTTACATAAATGGTGAAGAAGAGAAGTGGGTAAGAGAACAGCTTGGAGGCATCTAAAAGTTTTCATTTTAAGTGTAGATCATTGCAAAGGATGGAATTTTCTCGGATTGTCATCATCATTGATGTTTGAATATGAGACCATTTCATCAGTATTTAAGTGTACTCTGGATCGAACTAGGACAGGAGAGGATATTCACTGCCAAACATTTCGAGGAATACACGAACAAGCTCTTTTATGATCAGAAATGTTATGCCCCTTTTCCCCTTAAACTTGTATTTCCTTTCTTCTTCCCTCCTAAAGTGTTATCTAGATGATACGTATATTTGATGCTTTTTTTTTTTTTTTCTTGTGACCATCAAGGGTAAATTCTTTTAGGTCTGGGACTGCCATAACAAAATACCGTCAAGGCCGGGCATGGTGGCACACACCTGTAATCCCAGCCCTGTGGGAGGCCAAGACTAGAGGATTGCTTGAGGCCAGGAGTTCAAGACTAGTCTGGGTGAAATGGTGAGACCTTCATCTCTACAAAAACATACAAAAATTAGCCAGGCATGGTGGTGGGCGCCTGTGGTCCCAACTACTCAGGAGGCTGAGGTAGGAGGATTGCTAGAAGCCAAGAGGTTGAGGCTGCAGTGAGCTGTGATTATGCCACTGCACTCCAGCCTGTGAGACAGAGCAAGACACTGTCTCCAAAAGAAAAAATACCATCAGTAGGTCACTTAAACCATTTGTATTTCTCACAGCTCTGGAGGCTGGAAGGCTGAGACCAGGGTACCAGCAGGGTTGGGTTCTGGTGAGGCGTCTCTTCCTGGCTTGCAGACGGCCGCCTTCTGTGTCCTCACACGGCCTTTCCTCGGTGTGGAGCAGGGAAGAGAGAGGGACAGCAAGAGCTCTGTGGTATCTTTTATAAGGACACTGATGCTATCGGATCAGGGCCCCATTTAATTATTTTCTTAGAGGCCCCATCTCCAGACACAGCCACACTGGGGGTCAGGGCTTCAACATAGGAATTCTGGGTCAACACAACATTTAGCCTATACCATCTGGATTGCCTTTCAACTCTCAGGACACGATTGGTCAAAACTATATCACTATGTTTTATGTTACATATCAACGAAGCAAAATTTTATAGGAATGCATGTCCTTTTGGTATGCATTTTATATATATTTTTCATTTACAGATTAGAGTTGTGTGTGTGTACAGTTCCATGAATTTTGACACGTGGATAGAGTTGAGTCATTACGCCTACAATCAAGACACAGAACAATTTCATTATTCCCCAAGATTTCCTCGTGCCTTCTCTTTTTTGTTTGTTTATTTGTTTTACAGTGGGCTCCCATAATTTGTTTTTTTTTTTTTGAAACAGGGTTTTGCTCTGTTGCCCAGGCTGGAGTGCAATGGTTCAATCTTGACTCACTGCAGCCTACTCATGCACCTCCCAGGCTCAAGAGAGCCTCCTGACTTAGCCTTCCAAGTAGCTGGGACCACAGATGTGTGCCACCACACCTGGCTAATTTTTTTTTGTAGAGATGGGGGTCTGGCTGTGTCGCCCAGGCTGGTCTTGAACTTTTGGCTTCAAGCATTACTCCCACCTCAACCTACCAAAGTGCTGGGATTACAGGCGTGAGCCACTGCACCCAGCCTGTGTCCTGTGCTGCCTTCCTCCCACTTTGTAGGGAAGTCCCTTGCCCCCATGCTTAGCCCTTGGCCACTAGCTATTTTTACCTTTCCAGAATGTTCTAAATGGCATCTACAGCCTGTAACCCTCTGAGCCTGGCTTCTTTCACTCAGCACCGTCTCTAGATGCATGCGTGTTGTCGTGTGTAGCAATAGTTCATTTCTTTTCACTGCTGAGCAGAACTCCATGGGGTGCACACACCAATGATTTTCAGCCGTTCACTTATTGAGGGACATGTAGAGTGGTTCCAGCCTTTGGCAATTGTAGTAGTCGGTTTTCACGCCGCTGATAAAGTTATACCCAAGACTGGGTAACTTTTAAAGAAAAAAGGTTTAATGAACTCACAGTTCACATGGCTGGGGAGGCCTCACAATCATGGTGGAAGGCAAAGGAGAAGCAAAGTCATGTCTTACATGGGACCAGACAAGAGAGAGTGACAGCCAAGTGAAAGGGGAAACCCCCGATCAGACCATTAGATCTTGTGAGACTTACTCACTACCAGGAGAACAGTATGGGGGAAACCGCCCCTACGATTCAATTATCTCCCACTGGATCCCTCCCACAACATGGGAATTATGGGAACTACAATTCGAGATGAGATTTGGGCGGGGACACAGCCAGACCATATCAGCCACTACGAACAAAGCTGCTGTGAATGTTCATGTACAGATCTGTGTGTGAAGGCATACGTTCATGTCCCTCAGGTGTACACCTCGGAGTGGGGCTGCCGAGTCAAACCGGAGCTCTGCGTTTCACTTAAGGGGGACTGCCAGTTTCACAGTCGCTGTACCAGCCTGCTTTCCCAGCAGCTCTGCATCCTCACCAGCATCTTGGTATTTTCAATTTTAAAAACCTTCAGCCCTTCATAGTGGTTTCTCACTGTGGCTTTTATTTGCTTAGAAATACTTCTTGTCCTGAGATGAGTGGGACTTCCTCTCCACCCCCGATTAATTCATGTATCTGTGAATGACTGTCACGTATTGCTAGAATGAAACCAATTTTTACCATCAATTCTTCGTCGCTGCAAGTGCAGAGAAGCCTTGTTTTCATAAGGAAGTCGCCGGGAGTGGAATTCTTATACTCCTGGTTAGTATGCGAATGTCACGCAGCCATCTGTCATTGGAAGCGATTTTCACTGATCTCCCAGCTGACAAGTCCGTTTGACCTTTCTTCAGATTTGTAGAAAGCAGCAAGGTGGAAACCACCGGCTTGCAAAAGCGTTTCTTACCCAATCTTTAGACGGGTTCTCGAAAACCCGTGTCCGGGAAGTTCCCTCTGACTGGGGCTGAAGGTCAGGCAGGCTTTGCCCGTTGGCTGTAGAGTGGAGGGGTCGGGGGTCTTGTGACCTGCCTGGGGGACTGGCAAGCAAGTGACAAGCTCAGGAGAGAGTCCAGGCCCTGAGGACGGTCCCTTCAAATTCCCTGTGTCTGATCCTCTGGGAAGCTGAGCCCAGCTTTGGTTATTTGATAGCCACGATGAGGATTTTGACTTAACCTGCACATGCGACACATCACAGACACTTTTAACCCTTGCATTCAGGTCTACCTGCTCATAAGCTCATAAAACAGAAAAAAAGACAGTCCCCAGAAGGCATTCTTTTTTTCTTTTTTTGAGACAGGGTCTCACTTGGTCACCTAGGCTGGTGCAATCACTGCTCACTGCAGCCTCGACCTCCCAGCCTCAGGCGATCCTCTCACCTCAGCCTCCCAAGTAGCTGCGATTATAGGCCTGTGCCACTACACCCAGCTAATGTTTTGTATTTTTTTTGTAGAGATGGGGTTTTGCCATGTTGCCCAGGCTGATCTCCAACTGCCAGGCTCAAGCGATCCATCCACCTCGGCCTCCCAAAGTGCTGGGATAACAGGCATGAGCCACTGCCCTGGCCCTTAAGTCATTCTTGTGTGTGGGGTGTGTGTGTGTGTGTGTGTGTTCCTGAGGGACTTAGCCTCCTGTGTGTCTCACTGGGTGAACACCTTGCTTCTGAGTGAGGTTTGATTTTTTTTGTAGGGTGTATGTTTGGACACATCCTTGGTCTTAAGCCCAGCCAACGACCTTAGCCAGGGCTCAGGGAAGGGAAGCACCGCCTGCCCCACAGCTGGAGGGCTGTGCTTCGGGACACCTGGTCCAGCTTCAGTGTCTCTGACTCTGAGCATCTTTGACTCTGCGAGACTTTCTTTTCATGCTCTCACTGTAGGCCCCAGCCCCCGCCAGTGACGGGACTCTACTACTTACTATGTTGCTTGAATTTGGCTTACTTTTTTTCTTAAAGAAGTTTATTTTAAAAGGAAGGCAGTTATATCTGTGAAATTATGGGTCCTTTGGGCAAGTAATATTTTTCCCGTCTCCATTAAAATAAATACCTAACTCCTAAGGATGTTCCTCCCTGTACCTCCAAGCGGCCTGCTACCTGCGATCTCGGCACCATCCCATGATTGTCTCCCATGCGCCCTTCGTCCTGCTCGGCCTGTGTCGCCCCTGCATGGCCTT